TAAGAGGCTTAATAATTTGTATTAGGAACTCATAAACAGTATTAAGTCACAATCAAAAATGTCTATAAATGCATGCCTATAAAAACAAATAAAAAACAATAAATTTATAATGAACAATGGGCCTATTATTTATTTGTATATTATTGAACACACACATTCGCCAATGATTTCCAATAGCGAATGTAGACCTACCACTCTCCTACATGAGGTGAAAAATAAACTGTTCAAGTACACTATGATAATTCGGATTGTTTATGGGGCCAATTAGACGTGTAGTTGAATTTTACACATTCATTGTCTATTTATCATTAATAAACTGTAACTATTACTTTGTTAGTTTGTGATGCATCTTGGAACTTGTCCAAATTTGCAATGTAAGCTGTAGTTTCTTGGAACGAGCTTTTTCTTTAGTGTCAAAAATTATTCTTTTTTTTCCGATACTAGTAACGGAAATTACAGTTACGTAACAGCACCCATACGAAAGGCTATGTACATTGATTACAGTAATAGTTGCATAGTAAAATTCACCGCGTGAAATTTAGTAGTCACGTGACCTGTATACGAGCTTGTCTTATGTGACCTATGAGACATCTCTTGGTTGTGTCAACCAATCAGTGACAATTATTATCCTGATCGTGTGCTTTATTGCGCGCCTGTTTCCAAGCGAAACAGTTGTCATTGTTACGGATGCGCTGTTACGTGTATAGGCTTCGGAATAGAAGCCAGCATACCTCGGCCTAATTTTGCTGGGGTTAGTAGAGTCAAACTGATAAGTAATGTTGGATGAGTATTGTTTTATCATTAGTTATTAAAATATTCTTTGAGGAATGGTATATTGCTTTTGAATCGATTATCTTCATGGAGGCTTGCGGCTGTAATACATAAATAATCAGCGATAAGATCATAGGGTAGGCACAAAAAGCAAACATCTGATGTGTATCAACACAATGTTTTTGTAGCCGTGACACTTTGAAAATAAATTTATTTTTGTGGAGTATCTTTTTGCATTTCCTTAGTAAAATGTTATTTACGTAATATATTCTTATATTTGACTCCGATCTTTTATTTCTAACAGGATATCAATTGCAGAAGGTCACTGCCGTAGTTAAATTATTCAGGAAAAATACGGAACTCTTGGACATGCGGAAATATTTCATAATCCTGGTAAGCGATTTTGTCCCAGAGGAGAATGAACTCATTATTTACTGTCAAGTTAGTAGTAATTAGGTCGTTCCGACTAGCCTGCTGCATTTCGACTTGGACGCAGAGCGTTAGCGATGAGAATCTTAGCGTAAAGCGCGATCACACGCCTGATAACTCAGCAGAAATCATAATGAGATTAAATACGTTATAATAAGGTAAACATTGATCAATATACAGACTATTTTAACACGCTAACCTGCACACAATTGAAAGTTAATTGTAAAAGGAACAGTTGTGTTTTGAACGAGCGTTGTTGGGACAAGCACGGATTCTGAGCATCTCACGAGTGTACGAATAATGCAACCAATCATTGTTTCTGCTCTCACATATTATTAAAGAATCGGTTTTGTTTCAATAAACCACATTTATCAATCAGTTTTGCAAAACTAAACGTTTATTCAATTTGAACCGCATGTAACTCGAGGATTAACCATTGATATATTAATTCTTTCAGAATAACAGGAAGACTTTTATTTAATGATTTGGAATACCTACGTAGTATGTGATTTGTTTAAAAACTGTTTCACCATAGGATATATCTAAATTGTGTTGAGAAGGGCAAATCGCCATACTCAAAGACACTCAAAATGACAACCAGTCCAAACGCTTCAAACAAGTTAGCGTCATATGTGTTTCCAGAAAACATCAACGTGAACCGATATATGGCTGTGCCGACTATCGTGTTCATCATTCCGGCTGTGGTCCTGAATCTTGTAGCCTTTGTACACATTTACAACCTCAGCCCCAAAAAACACGATAATATTCCGCATCTTTTTATGGGTAGTTTAGCGATAGTGAGCCTATTGATGGTACTTCTTACCTACCCCATCTCATTTGCAGTTCAAGTCACCGGACGTTTCATTGGTGGCGTTCCAGCCTGTTTTTTCACTGCTTTTATATTCCTTTGGGCTGGGAATGTTATAGTTCTTATTACAGTATTAATGAGCATAGAACGTTGTTTAGCAATACGATGGCCGTTTAAACATACACTTATTTTTAATTTTAATTTAGCAATAAAACTTCTGGTTGGTATTGTTTTCTACAGCTGTTGTCTTTCATTCATTCCACTAATTCTTCGTGTTATAGTTATGGATACTCAAGGTGTATGCCTGTATTCCCAGGACGAAAAGTCAATACGCGGGAAAATTGTAATATTTTTGTACGTTTCAAACTACATAATAAGTTGGATTGTTATGGCTGTTGCTAATACATTACTGTTATTGACGATGCGAGATCTTCAGAAAATTGCGAAGTCAGCAAGTGACGGATATGCAAGGCATGAACGGAGAACCAGTTCCTCTTGGGATAAACAGAAGAAGGAAACTTTGAAGTTTTCGCGTTTAATAATGGTCATGTCTTTCTGTTACTCATTAAGTTGGTTGCCGTTCACGGTAAGTTGTCTGTTGTTAATTTTTGTATTTTGCTGTAAGCTTAAATTTTTGCAAATTATTTTCTAGTATGCACCCAATAAGGCTGAGCTGTTGCTTTTTATTTAGATATAAGGTAAATTCTTGCAAATTATTTTCTAGTATTCGTCTAATAAGACTGAGCTGTTGCTTTTTATTTAGATATAAAGTTCAGCCTCAAAGTTATATAAACTTTGTTCACACCAGAGAATTTTGACGCGTTTTGTCGAACAACGCAAGCAACCTGCAACGCGTTTAGGTTAGGCAAACGCAAGCAACGCTAAAAAGCCAACTACGGCATAAACACCGATTCTCGTCAGATCAGAAAGTTAAGCAACGTAGTAGGCATCACCTGTGGGTTTGAATCTCTCGCACTCTGGGTTTAGTTGGTGGACCCAAGTCTTCTTGGATAAGACTCTAAAGCATGGGCCTGGTGTAGGGCCTACACAATTTGCTCTTGTGCACTCTATAGAACCGAGTAAGGACTTCGAGAAGTGTAGCGGACTACCCAAGTGTACTGATCCATCTGGGCACTGTCGATGTGGACAGTACAGAAATATTATGCCTATTGGTCGGACATTAAGTGACCATTTGGGAAGAAGAACACGAGTATTAAGCCTTAAAGCTGCAAAGTACAGTAATGTGCGTTTAAATACGTTGTATGCATCAACGTTTACTGTTAAACCATAGAGAAAAATAGAACAATCTGTTCTATTTTCTCTATGGTTAAACCAACCAAACTTCAGAATTACAGTGCTGTACTGTTGTGCGCGACTCGGGGCTTATAATATTCTACATCAGTTCACAAGAGTCAAATTAATATTTACTAACAAACATAACCCTTTTGTTTTACTATTACTAGGCCTATATTTGGAAACATACCAACGAGTATATGGTATCGAAACTTCATGATCAATGCGTACCGTATAATGTCTCAAAGCAATTAGATCTTAATCAAGCAGAAATTAAATTTATGGTATTTTAATCCCCATGCAAACCATGGAGTAAGTATTGCCGATACTTGATACATCATCAAACATGTTCTGAATTGAGACAGCGACGGCATAGTGAGTTTAAGTTGTCAGACGAGCTTATCTAATGTCCTTTCTTCGTCTGTAATAACAGCGACCACACACACATGGAACTATAGCAATAACTATATAAAGTGATTACTACAGACAATATTTTCTTCCTTAAATGCCTTTACTTTAAGTTTATGGTATATAATGTTATAGTAGTAGTAAGCAATTAGTAGAGTTGCGTATTATAAACTATTGGAAATTACGAACGTTGGATTAATGCATTAAAATTAATCCTGAGGGCGCGGCCTGCAAGTAATAATTAGCGCTATATGAAGACGAAGACTATTATTATTTATTATTATTATTATTATTATTATTATTATTATTATTATTATTATTATTATTATTAAGCAGACCTCTCGCCACGTGATTTAATATTAGATAAGAGGATAGGAGCGAGTATTTTGTTGCGTTGTGAATTACATCAAGGATACACGCTAAGTCCGGAGACTTGCTTTCAGTGAGGTCCTTCTGGTGATGAATTGGCCAGTACTGTACACCAAGAGACAATCCCTTTTCCGAAGAGCCCGCCGAAGAGTGTACTGCGTTCTTCTTTGACGTGGAAAATGGGCCATATTGCACAACGAACCAACGGCTTATATACACGTTTCATTTGAAAGACGGTGCGCTAAGTTTTAACTTAGGCCTAATACTTATGTTTTGATATTTCAACTAGAAATGATCTTTAAATATTTTTTTTTTGTAATAAAAAAACTCAACGAATTATAATTTTAATATTATCTGCATTGGAACATTAAGAACAGCAATTGCTTTGTAGTTTGCCGCGGCATCCGTCATAATTAAGCTTAGTTTATATTTGGTGGCTTCCAAGGCAAACGCAAAAGGATTGACGCATAACGTTTTGCACATTCGCGTTAATACGCGTCTAAAAAATTGCATGGTAGAAATTTTTAAAAAATCGACTGCGTTTACTGGTAATGGGCGTAGCGTTTCTGCGTTTCCATCACGTCAGAACGCGTCAACACTTAAAATATAATGATTTATAGTCTATCTTTCCATTAGTCCTTGAGGAACACTTAGATTGTGTCCCAACTGGTTGACCTAAGTGCATCCACTGGATTGGATGCGACCATCAGCTTCTGTCAAATATAGCTAAGAATAGCACCATGACGGATGACTCCAAACCTCTAACACTATACAGTATATAAAGCATAAGTGAGTGATTTTTTACGCTGATGTTCACGCCTCCATACTTTGCCTTCGTGTATAATCACATCGTCTGTAATCAGTTTTTAGCTCATCTATCATATTAGTAATTCTTATACATCCATCGCAGGAAATTCTCCAGGCGGAGATCTAGTTCATGATAATAAAATATTGTTGTTGTTGTTGTCTCTGCTGCTGTCGATGGGGGTGAAGATGATGATGATGATGATCATCATCATGATCATGATCATGACATGATGACCATATCTCAGCAATGTTACGCCTATTATTTTTATTCATACTTACGTTGTGTGTCAAGTCATAAATAATATTTATTTACTCTTTCTCATAATAAAATCATGAAACATTAAAGAAAAATCTACTCCTCGTTAAGTTGAACACAAAACATTGAAAATAATTAATTTAATGTATGAGGTGAAAATAGATGGTAAAGGTAATGATAGTAATAATGATGATAATAAATAAATTATAATCATAATAATGTAAAGGTAATAATAGTATTAATGATAATAATAAATAAATTTTCATCATAATAATGTAAAGGTAATGATAGTAATAATGATAATAATTAATACATTATAATCATAGTGATAATGACAATAACAATGATAATAAAATAAAAATAAGTAATTATAATACAAATTATCAAATGATGAAATGTTATTTGGTACCTGTACTATAGTACGTGCATGGTAATTATTAGAAATAATGAATGACTCAACAAATTAATATATTTTAATGTCACTCTACCCAACGTAATATATTATGCTTTTGTAAAATTCACTTGAGGATCTAGGCTACCTGATAAAAACCTTAAGCCATTAATCGTGTTCGTAATTTGAGTATAATTGCTGCAATTATCATACGAAACCTATTATTCGGCTTACTGTCCAATAATTAAGTATATTATATTAACGAAATGCACTTAAATTGCTGGTAGTACTTTCAAGACGCTGAACTTAAAAGTGTAAAGGAATATTTATGTAATAAATACCATTGCATCATATTAAGCTGCATGACTGTAGTGTTATATTTCAAAGTTAAAGTGGCTCTTTCATTTTTGACGTCATGAAGTGACGTCATATTATATACAACGTAGGCCTAATCATTGCTGGTCCACATTGAACCTTCTATGAATTGAATTCTTATGTCCAGGTCGATCGCCCCTCTATATAAATGCCTTGCGGGTAACAAACTTTTGAACGTTTAATATGCTCGCCTATATCAAGCGTTAACGTATACGTACGTGTCAGTCTAACACCCTGTTAATAATTCTTATTCTCTCATTTCTGTTCATGTAAACCGCATAGAAGCGCTTGCATTATGCGCTATATGCCTATAAATGTATAATTGTTATTAGCAGGTTATCTCGTAACTGCTTTAAGACAGGTAATAAGCAACCATATATCATAATGAATGTTCACAGTTCTTTATGATTTCACGTGCACGTACAATTTCGTTGTATATCGATTTGGTGTGCATAGCTGTAGCTCACTTGTTAAGATGCTTGCTTTTCTAAGCCCATGAGACTGCTAAGGAATATAATACTGCACTTGAATACTATTATTTAGTTTAGAAAGTATAATACATACTCCAAGTATTGAAATACACGCCATCGTGTTGGGATTCAATATTTCGACATTAATTAGGTCATCATCATCATTTAGTTTTTAATGATTAAAAATCATTCCTATCAGCATTTTGCTTACATTATGAAATTTACGCACTATTAAGTATTTCTCATTCTGAGGCTTATGAAGTGGATTTGATTTTTAATGACAAAAAAAGAAAATCATGATTTTAATCCCACTTACAGCCTGCAAATTCATCGTCCTGCAAGCCACAGCCACTATAATACAGAATTGAGTTTTAGGCGTCTGGTATAATATTTCTATGTTATTATTATTTATTTATTCGAAAAATATAGTTACAATAGGTACAATCATATTATGTTCTGGGTTAGCTTGAGCAATATTTTTATTTTTATTCATGGAGCGTCTGTTGCCGCCCTCACTCTGATTATTTAAATCTCTTCCAGTTGAGAGTTAAATATTGAATGAATAAATATTAACCGCGTATTCTGACGAAATGTATATCATTAGTCAATCAAAGTCGATCTAGAAACTTTGATGTATCGACATTACATTGTGTCGTATATAGGAACCTTAAAATGGGGGTGGGGCACAAAGGTGAATGCAAAATGGGGGACATGAAGTTGACGTAAGGGCGCGCAAAATAAGGTGATTTTAACCTACTTAAGAGTATTTATTTTGCTTCGAACACTTCCAGTGGGGAAGCGACTGGGGAAGGAGGTTTTTTGTACCCATTCCTCCCCCCCCCCACATACACACACGTACCCCTAGATACGCCATTGATCATCGAAGAGAATTGGTAAGATCGGACGTCATAATCACGTGCCATTAAAGAAGCTATGTTGGATTGAACCCCAAAACATGTGATTCGAAGTAAATCATCTTAACAAACAAAGCAGAGACCCACTCCCAAAATTACACCTCAACCTGACATTAGACCTATGTGTCAGGCCAATCAATAAATCGTTATTCCGTCGTGAAAGACGTCGTTACAACCATTGATAGAATATTACATTTTGATAGTTCGAATGAACTTAACTGTTAAATTTGAATTCCCGGAGCAATTAATTTACTGAACAAAATGCAGACTGAAAAACTCTCTACGCATGCGTAATAATCCTCTTTGTCGGATGAAAACTGTTTAGCAAAAACCGAAAGGTCCACTGATTAATCTCAGATAAGATAGTATAATACATACTCCAAGTATCGTGAATCCCGACACGATGGCGTGCATTTCGATACTTGGAGTATGAATTATACTGTAAAAACTGTTTACAAATTTAAATTCGCTATATTTAACTTTGGTAACATTTTTCAAATTAACAAAACTGTGATTATAGTGACCTGGACATATTCATCCTTATTATGTTTTTGAAATGCAAACGTGCTTGTTCCTGGGATATGCTCATCGGAACCTCATTTCTCCAATTGTAGAGAAGTGCTCAACAACTACGGTTACGGTTGAAGATTTTTCAATCTTCAAGGTACCTAAGCGGATAGGTTAAGCTAGGCCTAAGGCCAGCTTGTTTCAAACATGAAAAATAAGTGATTACGAATTAATATTTTTGTTTTCTACTCGACTGTATCAGAAGTTCAACCGATTTGTGTAGCCTGCCATCACAGACGCGCGCGCGGCTTACGCTCATTCACATGAGTATTATTATGACATTATTACGCTGCGTTCACACTAGGTATTACTGTACTGTACTTTGTTTTTACGGTGCGATTTATTTCGTGACGCTCTGTGCTTGTGTCCGAAAGAAAAAAATATACTTTAGAATTCAATCACGGCAGATTTATTTCTTTTATCGATTGTGTTGCATATTTCCTGTATATGGCAGACAATAATTGAATAATATATACCGAATGCTTGCTAATGGTGTACGGAACGTGCATGATTCTACACGATCACTAAAACGCTTAAATGTTTTTCTGTCTTAACCCGAAAATCGAAAATAATTAGTTTGTAATGTGACACCAGATATATTTCGTGCACTTACGACATTTAATTCAGAAAGAATCGAATACAATAACAATGATTATTAGTTTATAATATTAGCTTAGCTGCTTACAAAGAAACACTGCACTAATCGTGGTAGACTAACTATAAGTAACTTTTTAGTTGAGATGAAAAAAAGATATATCTGGCAGGATTCGAATCTACAGCCTCAAGCTTCAAGGCGAGTGTCATACCGCCAGATTTACAAGTCAATTCAAGATAGCTTGTTATTAATACTGTTTAAACACAATTCCTTTGAAGCCTCTTCTTCATAAAGTTTAATTAAACAACTTACTCGTTAATTTCAACCATCTTCAACGGATAGAGCTGACGTCACATGTATTAGAATTGATTGGTTGTATTAGTTTCGTTGAAACTAATCGTTACAATAACAACATGTCTTGTTTTTACATATTCAACGATAGTTTAAAAATGATGACAATGCGTATTAATAAAAAAAAAAAGAAAAAGAAGCCTTTACACCGGCATGCTTTTCACACCCCAGTCGCGCCCTAGGTAGGTAGTGGTGAGAGGGAGATTCCTAGTAATACATACCCTCTAGTAATAACGGTTGCTTTAAGACCTGACATTGCTGTGACCAATGTAAAGATGGCCATTGCTGTGGTGGTGCGCGCCCTCACAAAGCGGTGTCCTATGCTCTGGTATAATAATGACACCAAACACCAAGCTTGCCTTCATAGCGCCCTCACACGTTAGTTACTTTTCAAGGAACTAAAGCACATTCACTAAACCATGGAGGTATAAAATATATGCTATAACATAATGTCACATGCAATAGTTGAAAAAAAATATATTACAATTATTCTCCTTGGTTGACGTAGTGATCCATAGGCTGCCAATTTGGTTTAGATTTTGTAATTAAAAAAGATGTTAATGTTGCTAAATTTTCAGCAACTGGAAAACTGTCAGCAAGTTCGTCTTAATGATCGATCATTATTCTTATATTTTTAGGTAAAGGTTCTTTTAAAGTATTACGGAAACTGGGATAACCTACTATTCAACATGATGACCGTGTCATTAGCCGGTTGTGATCCGTTCATCAATCCGCTTGTTTGTGTGGTAATGAGTAAGTCTTTTAGAAGTGGTTACAGAAGGACTGTCGTTAATGCATTTAAATGCGTATGTAAGGAGAGAGGTGGGCGCAGATGGTCTATAGAATTACCAGGTAAGTCAGGGAGTTGCTAAATGCAACGGGTTCAGCTGAGGGGGTGTGGCTTGTATGGTGACGTCATGTATAATTATACAGTCTACCTAAAAATATTACACATCGGATTCTGCTCGAAATTCTTCTGGAAATTAATGTGGATTTTTTATTTTTTTTTATTTTGTGGTGAAATTGACACTGCGCCTTGAGTACCATTGGTGGAGATATGCTCTTTATAAATCTTTATTATTGTTGTTGTTGTCGTTGTCGTTGTTATTATTATTATTATTATTATTATTACAACACATACACTGTGTGACCAATGTGACGTTAGCAAGCAGGTCGAGGCTTAGTTTTGTGCTGCTGCTGCTATGACCGGGTGACGGGACAATCGGGCCCACGAGACGATCGAGTCCATTTCCAGACGATTGACCCAATTAGTATGGACGATCATAGGTCTAATAATGATTCGCTGTAAGGATTATTATGTCAATTATGATAATTATGATAGGCCTACTGGTCGTGTTAATGATAGTCGTGATCATAATAATAATGTTTGAGTACTCAAAGTGCTTAACACGAATTTCCCACGAGTCCATGTGTCATGGTAGGCCTACAACAAAACACTGGTGGACGGCTGCAATATCATCAGCTTCATCATCACCACCATCACCATTATCCTTATCTATGTAGTTTTGTATTCCTTTGCAGTTCATTTAAATACTTCGATTCATTCCACACAAATATGAGCTCATACAAGCGTGCGGTATTCAAAGTAAAGTCGCATTACCATGCTCGTTATGTAAGAAAAGGGATGTCAGTATATATCGAATTAAACAATACTTAAAATGAAGATTCGATATAACACTACAGACCCTTAAAATTATTGCTATAAAATGATCGATTACAATGTAGGCCTACGTTATATTATACACTTTTATCTCTTAAGATGTGCTACCGCTGAGATTAATCTTAAAAAGGTGTGATTTGAGATTGGCCTTAAGATAGCATCATTAATAAATATGCTCTGTGATCAGTTTCTAGCTTTTAGGCCTATTTCAAATAACACATTATTAAGATTTGGATTAGATTTATTCGGTGTGAACACCAAGGATAGCCCACGAAAAAGACTTATTTCCAGTGGGGTCCTTCTGGTGGTGATTGGGCAGAACACAGGGAGACAATCCGCTACTCTTTTCTGAAGAGTGTACTGCGTTCTTTAACGTGGACATGGGCCATAAATGCACACGGGACCAATGGCTTAAACGTCTCATCAGAAAGACGGTGCGCTATTATAACTTGTATTTCAGCCCTGTAGCTGAAACACAAGGAGAGGCAGCGATGGGAATTGAACCGGGGACCTAGAGATCTCCACCCACGGTTCAGCGCACACACAGTGGCTACCACCAGATTAGCCGACTGAGCTAGGCTGCTCTCATAGTATAGATTGATCTCAGCGCTGCACACCTTGAAGATCATTAGCACATCTTAAAAATAGTCATTATCAAATAGGCTCTGTAATTAGTTATAACTTGTAGGCTTATTTCAAATCACACACTTTTAAGATTGATCTTAGCGCTAACATACTTAAAGATCGCTAGCACATCTTAAAGATTTAAAGTATTTTTTGTATATATGTATTAAATAACGTACATTGTAGTCAATCATTTTATAACAACAATTTAAAGAGCCTGTTATCGACTATTCATATTGCAAATCCATGACTCTTTAATATTAGAGTGAATATTACATTAGTTGTAACATCAACCGGTGTTACTACAAAACTATGAAAACTTTAATAACTTTATAAACTTTTATCTAAATTCGCCTGAATGTTATTGTTGCAGTACTTAAAACAATAAATCGTTGTATCGTTGTATCAGAATCATCTTATTCATGATTCTCATATAGATATCGAGTTAACTTAACTCGAGAGTAACCGTATAAGTCTCTTTCCTTGAATAATCGCATCGAACATCTACATAAAGAACACAGCGCCTAATTCCAGTGGATACAACAAATTAATTAAACTACTGTAGGCCTATTTGATTTTAGTTTATTTAACTCAATCAACCAACAGAGAGAGAAACTTCCCTTACAAGTTAGATAAAAAAACATACAAAAAGGAACACAATATGGTAGAAATATATTCAATTGCCTTCAAAATAACGAGGATAAAACAAGGATTAAAAAGAATATCAATTTAAACAAAATGTAACTGCTATTATAGTTTAAATCAAACTCATTGTTACGTCAACTCGGTCAAAGGGGAAATAGATTAAGATGTTAGTGCGAGTATTGTACGACAGTGGAACGTTCATTATAAACAAAGTTAATATATTACAATCAAATATAGAATTTAAACTTATTTTGTACAAAAACAACAAAGCCTATTTAGAACAACTCTACGATATTAGACCTATATTGAAAAAAAAATGTAAAATGTTCACAAATTCGGCCAAATATAGTTTTGCCGTGAATTTTTGTACGGCCAGGTGAAGAATCTGAGCGTCAAAACGGCCAAATGGCAACCCTGGGTTTACTCGAGCGTCACGACATTGCGAAATGCCTACTCTTGTTCCTAATAATTTGAACTTGTTATCGTATCGAACTCCAGTCCAGTCAATCCGAGGCGGCCCGTGTGGAGTTTCATGCAAATGTTTCGTACTGAAAAAAAAATCGCGTCCTGTTAAGGAAAGGTAGACTAAACTGACAAAGCGACCTCTCACTGGATAACCAACGCTTGATTGACATGATTATGGTGATTATTATTAAGATGCTGAAGATGATAATTATTTCAAATAGGCCTAGGTCTATGTGGTCCTACAGTGCATAATACGGCATTAGCTGCAAAGGTACAAAATGATGATATTTTTTCACAAAATCTAAATGTTTTATGTTTTTTTTCCTATATTTTTCTTAGCTGAAGTCGCACAGTCAAGATCGAGGCCGAGCGATGGCGCTGTTTATGATGAATGCCCAAATGAGGATTTTCAAGAAATCTCTGACCAACTATCCGTTTCTAAAATTCGAGCTAATTGTGTAAACTCGTTAAAGCAAGACGTATGCATAACGAGTGTATAGCAATAACAGTAATCCGCGCAGAAACCTGTTCCGTGAATCCTATGTGTCGGTATATAACCTTTGAGAAATTCAGTATGCGAGTTTATAATTCCGTATTTAAGTCTATTACATTCCCCAACGCAAGCATTACCCTATTCAACACAAAGTTGAGCATAACATATACTTTTAATAAAACTATGCAGAAATATTTCTTTAACAATTTTTCTTTTTCTCTAACTTGTAAGTAGAAAAATACCTTTTGTAGTAGCTCATATAAAACTCAAGTCATGTAATTGTGAAACTGGAAATCATTTCCGAAACATTTCTCTGGTTTGCAAATATGCTCATTGTGTTATGGTTTCATGTTAGTAGGAAGCTTTCGATCTGTGCGACGACGCGACTCATGCGTGACCGTCCTACGTGGCATCCTACGTTCTCTGCTTTTGGCCAAATTGCGTTCCAGAATCTACTCGACAAGGTGACCTCAACGTTCTCGCATGCGCAGATGACTTTTTAGTGACGTCATTATGTTCTACGTCCTATCCATAGAGCTATTAAATAACTAGAGTGCTGACAAGATGGCGAAGCAATGCGGAGTTATGTATGTGTACCATCCAAGATGGCCGTCATAGTAAAGCGCCACCTTTAGGCTTAGTATACATATTATTACCATAAATAAGCCCTCTGACTGACTATTATTTCATTAATGATAATGAGTAATGGTAATAACAAATTATTAAATTATTGTAGCCAAAACAAGGCCAAGTGGAGCATCTTATTTAAAAATAAAGTACAAAGGAATGAAAATTAAAATCGTGTACATTACACCCATACACCGCAACGCTCGAGTTTCAAACATACGGGTAACTAGATTTACTGAACTTTCTGTGTAAATTGAGGGCGCAATTGCAAATGATGGTGCTTAGGCAAAATTTGATTGGCTGAATCTATGACAGCCATCTTGGATGGTACACACGCACACAGCTCTGCGTATTTCGAACATCGAATACATTGTAGTTAGCGCTCTAGTATTCTTATTATTATCTCTATGGTAGTACCGTCGTCGTCGTGCCATCGAAAGCTCCCTATAATGATTCGTTGTAACGATTATTATGATACTAGTCGTGTTGATGATAATAGTCGTGATCATAATAATGTGATAATAAATGTTAGAGAACTCACAATGAATTTTTCCACGAGTTCACGTGTGATATGGTAGGCCTAAAAGAAGGCACTGGTGGACGGCTGCAAAATCATCATCATCAACCTCATCACCACCACCATCATCAATATCCTCATCCATGTAGTTTTGTATTCAACATAGGCATTTGCAGTTCATTTAATTAAATATTTCAATTCATTCCACACAAGTTAAGTGAGCTGATACAATCTGATTATAACCAGTGGCGGATTTAGGAATTGAGGGTCTACACCAAACCAGCCCCATGGATGGGATTGAGTTCAGAAAACTTACGATTATGGCCGGAAATGGTACTCTAAGACCTAAACTTGATTAAAATTTGGCCCTTTTTATCCATCTTTTTTCTTTCTTTCTTTCTGTAAGTTTCATACAGATTCTTGATGGTTCTTTCTTTGACAATTTCTATTTATAAATACGGCCTCTCCCTGACCCACCCATTATGGTTTCAAAAGCACAGTCTGCTGTACGTACTTTTGTACGACGGTGACGGAAAGATTCGGCAAACTGGGTTGTCATGATTTTGGTGAACTGGATTCGGCAATCTGGGTTTCTACAAATGTGAGCATAAACTCGACAAACTGAGTTTTGGCAAACAGGGCTTAGACAAATTGGTCGGATACCAAAAAAAGGTTCCTCCTCTCTACTGTCCGTAGATTTATTGGGATATAAGGTAAAATCTCATTCAGTAAAGCATTGTTCTTCCATAAACGTTCGGATGCACTTCGTAATGGATTATATAATGTTCTAATTCTAATGAAAATTATAAATATTATTACCATTATTATTAAATATATATACAGTTAATTAGCCTATTAAGTATATATATATATATATATATATATATATATATATATATATATATATATACTGTATAGGCTAATATATATACATACTTATATTAAAACGCAAACAAGTTTGAGATTTTGCGTCAGAATGCATCAGTCGCATTATTGGAAAAACATTTTACGTGTGAAATTAGGAACATAATGTCAGATTGTAAAATATTACTCGGGTTGCTGACCCAACACTCTCTTCAACAGATCGTTGACGCCTTAACCCGTCTGACCTGGTGTTTACCTGGAGGCGGCGTAATTACAGATTATTACGGTACAGATTACAGTTTGTGTAATGGTTGCTCACACCACGCTGTCACAGGGCCTATCTGTTTACCGCAACAAGAGCAATGCCAAGATTGGTAATCCATGTTGGACCATTAGTTAGGCCTATATTAAACATAAATATGTAAATAATGCGGATTTATTAATGTTATTTATCTTATTTAAATTAGTGCAAAAATGCCAATGATCGCAATATTTCATTTGTATGTTAATATTCACATGCAATCTACCTGAGCTATATATATTATGAAGGTAATAATTTAAGGTGTTTTATTTAAGTGAAGATTCGTATAACCATACAGATTTGTACTTCAATTAATCATTAAATAAACATATTGTAGTTGACACGTGCTTATTTTATATGTCATTGCAATGTCAATGTTTGTCTCTAGAGCCAAAATAAAGATGGCTACAATTACAAAATCGTCAAAAGATGGTAATTATAAGAAATATTCGTCCTGCACACTGTAGGCGCGGCCTACGCTAGCCCCTGAGATACCAGATTAATTAGAAATATGTCTTCAATAGAAATATACATCTACAAAACTTCATACTAATAGTCGTAATGGTAGGATGAAGCTGATTAGTTGACAAATACATTTCTTTTCGCATCGAATCCACTGTGGTCTAGTAGAACAGGTTGAAATAGGGCCTTGACGTAAACGCTTCTTCCCTGACCCCCCGCGTGAGTTTAGTGAGCAACAACGAGGTCGATGACAGTTGATATTCTAATTTTTTTCCAGTTCATAATTCAAGTTATACAATTTCATTGACCATCATGTTCTGCTAACTCAATTTAATTTCTTACCGCCATCGGCCTCTGGTAGTAAAGTCAAAGAGTATTGGTAAAGTACAGTCATGCTTGTTGAGCCACCACCTATTCAGCCAGCAAAGTGTAACGATCCTGGCCAATTTGTATCGTAATTGCCTGGGAATGTATTCACAAAAAACTACATGCAGGGAAAATTCTGACCATGCACAGAGCCTCGACAGATAGCCGTTGGTGGGATCTTGCAGCATATCTGAGTAGTAAAGTTCGAGGAGACTAAAACGAATATTTTGACCCGGCTGCTCAGAAATGGAAGTTTTTAACTTACCGACCAAAATGACGTGGTAGGCCTATATGAGAATCTTACTCTAAAGCTTGGTTTCCATATAATCGCTACACGATATCGCCGACTGCTTTCAGTGATGCTGATTGGTCGGTCGAATCGGGGAGCCTCCCCGATTGCGTCAGGGACTGCTGGCTACGCTGGAGCGGTTGGCGCACCGGTTGTGGCTTGGACTCCCAACCTTGAGGTCGGGGGTTCGAAACTCTGGCTGTGCAAATCGCTTGTGTCCTTGGGCAAGACACTTTATCTACGGTTGCCTCTCTCCACCCAGGAGTACAAGTGGGTACCTGGTAGGTTCCAACACAACCTGCGCTGATTACTATGGAATGATAATATAATTTCATTTACTAATTTAATTTGGTGTTTCAATGTGTTCCATATGTGTTTGATCCAATGACCGGGGTAGTAATGTGAAGCGCTTAGAGGCCTTGCAAAGGCATGAAGCGCTATATAAGAACGACATATTATTATTATTATTATTACGCTGTACAACGATGCGATTACACATCAATGTATGTACCAAATGATTTTGAGTGCCACCGATCTAAAGGTGTATGTTTTAATAAATGAAATGAAATGTATCGAAGGTGTATCATTGCCCCTTGATAGTAGAGTTTCTAAATGGTCTGAAGACAAGAATGGCTTATGTACTCTTTGCAATACAAATAATAAAGAAGACATAAGACACTTCTTATTCTCTTGTCCCGCTCTCCTAAACATACGTTTAGAGGAGTTAAATAAACTTGAATATAAATTAAGTAGTCATAACATCGATGTTTGGGATCAATTTTTAAGTGCTAATATTGATATTAAATTAAGCTACGTCCTAGGCTTCACTACTCTTTCCATGACAAATGAAGTAGAGATACTTTGATGAATTTTGTAAAAGTTATGGAAAACGAGCGTGGAGAAAAAGATCTGAATTGAAGCACTTGCAAACTTTATCGTAGATTAAGTATCTGTATTACTGTCTTTTCCTTTTTTTTTTGTAACTAATTAATTTTGTTTGCCTTAACATTATCGTTGAGTTTGATGATGGTGCAGGTGGCCCTTCGAAATTTGTGACAGGCAGGGCAGGTTGTATTTCCTTGTCATGTTTTCCGGGGAGCTACTTGCCTCATCAGCAGCACTACTCACCTTTTACTTAAGATTCCCATGTTTTGTTTCGTAATTTATTTTTTATTTTTTATTTTTTTTGTACTTTGAACGCACCAAATGATTTTGAGTGCCACCGATCTAAAGGTGTATGTTCTAATATATGAAATGAAATGTATCGACAATGTAGCGATTGTACTATATGGAAACCGAGCTATACTAATTCATATTTTTACGATTAATTTTGATGGAATGTGTACTGCTTCGTTAGGCATTCTCCAAAGTGACACTCCGTTGGGATGACAGGTGAGTCTCTCATAGCATCGGTTTACGTTACTAAAATTTATATTTAGTTCTTTGATATTGTTATTGAGTTTATCTATATCGAAAAAAACAAACACATTGTGATTTGGTCTATTAAGAATTTCCAAAAAAAGAATGCATAACATGTAACATATATTTTTCTAGTCAGATATGCTATTTTAGTTAGCAGGTCAGATTTAGTGAATTGATATAAATAATATGCCAAGGACACTTTGTGTTTTTTCCCTGGAAACTGCAAAATGAATATTTGGTTTCAACCAATGTTGTTGTTTTACTTCTTGGATTTCATAGTTAAGTAATATCTTGGTTTGAAAAGAAAATCAATTTATCAGCAATGAATTGAGGATAAATAACCAGCACCTGGTAAACCCACTCCAGGTCATGTAATCAGCTTTACCAGTATTGAGATAGGATTGGCTTTCTTCGGTGTGAAACACATGAAAATGACTCACAATATGTCCGACGGCATATTTCTAGTGGGGAACTGTGTGTCAATTCGCCCAGTACACCGATTCCCCATATTTTTTTTTTTCAAAAAGAGGACTGTGTTTTTGATTGGATTGGAATGGATTAGATTGATTGAATCATTGGATTTATACGGTGTAAACATAATCAATGGAAGTCTAGAAGAAGACTTATTTCCAGTGGGGTCCTTCTGGTAGTGATTGGGCAGTACACCGGGAGACAATCCCCTACTCTTTTCCGAAGAATGTACTGCGTTTTTTAACGTGAACATCATGGGTCATAATGCACACGGGACCAGACGGCTTATACGTTTCATCTGAAAGACAGTGCGATATCGTAACCTTAATTATAGCCCTCTCCAGCTAAAACACAAGGAGAGGCAGCAATGGGAATTGAACAGGAGAGATCTCCACGGTTTAGCGTACTGTGCACATTGGTCCACTGTACACTGTGGTTACCACCAGATTAGCCGGCTGAGCTAAGCTGCTCTCTCAAGTGTTCGGTAACGCATGTGCACAGCAATACACGAAAACGACCACG